AGATGATGATGATGAAGAAGAAGATGAAGAAGAAGAAGATGAAGAAGAAGAAGAAGAAGAAGAAGAAGAAGAAGAAGAAGAAGAAGAAGAAGAAGAAGAAGAAGAAGAAAGAAGAAGAAGAAGAAGAAGAAGAAGAAGAAGAAAGAAGACGAACAAACTGCTTTGCCCTGATACACAGACGTTTTGTGTCTTACTGTATGCATTATCAGCCTAACGATTGGTTATCTCTACTTGTCTAACACCAGGCGATAACTATTTCTTCCTTAAAACTCACAACTAACCAGTATAACAGCACCTTCAAAAGTTTTCACGGAAAAAAAAAGTTTTCTAAGCAATAATGACGTAACCAGAAAACCTGTGTAAGCGACAAACACTCTACAAGCAAACCTGCAGCTGTCTGTGCCGTCTGTTCAGAAACGAACGTGCTTTACTCTCATCATTGGAGAAATAATCACTTAGTATTTCCTTCCTGTCCATGTTGTAGGCTGGGAGGGATGCAGCCATTACCTTCGATTACTGTTACTTTACATGAGAGGCAAGCAATATTTGTTTTATTTGTTTTCTCATTCTTACACAGGCCATTTGTTGATAATTCTTTGGATTACATAGTCGTCAGGGATTTTGTTATGATCTGCTTGTTATACTAGTGTACTGATAAGTTGTGATGGCATAAACGTTTTTACTATTGTTTACTATCATATTTTCGGGGCTGTCTAGCAAGGTAGTTTAACTTCACGTTCCGACGGCTGTTGATTCGGTTTCGGACTCTGTCGTTTGGTTCATTAGTGCAGGTGTTCCGAAAATGTGGTTTCATCGCTGGAGCAACGGATTTCGTAATGTGTGCGACTCTCTCAGCCCCTTGTATAAAAAAAAGGGGCCGGGGGGGGGGGGGGGGTTGAAAAAAAGGTGAGGGGTGGTTATAAAACCAAATACAAATAAATCGACATTCCTGCCTTTTAACCAACAAAGTGGTTCAATCCCATTATAGGCTACATTCCAAGGTCGTCAGCAGAAATGTCTGTTGAAAAACCATTTTCTCGTCATCCCCTTGTGGGATGCAATTTTGCGTTATGTGAAGCCCCACCCTGGCTTTCGCCGGGGGCCTTAAATATAGCCGGACCTGAAATATAGCCTAACAAATCTAGGACTTCTCCACGGGTGATGCTCATCCGCATGGTGGCCCTTTATATCACCCGGTGTTTATAGCTTGTGTGATGAACTGGTGAGGTACAACTTACTTATTTACTAAGATAAATGTCTATAAAAGAAAATTAGTTGGAAATGAAAATGATCGCCGCAAATTATTAGAAGACTGTCTTTCAAAAAATAAGGTGTCGTCTTCATAATGAATTTTGACTTCTTCTTCTTCTTTTTCTTCGCTCCCCCCTCCTCGTCCTGCTCGTTCTTCTTCTTCTTCTTCTTCTTCTTCTTCTTCTTCTTCTTTTCTTCTTCTTCTTCTTCTTCTTCTTCTTCTTCTTCTTCTTCTTCTTCTTTCTTCTTCTTCTTCTTCTTCTTCTTCTTCTTCTTTCTTTCTTTCTTTTTTTCTTTTGTCATCTGACTGATACCACGCTGTAGCCCAGTGTTGTGGTTTTCTGTTTTTTTCTCATGCGCGTCTCGGCTGTTATGGGGTGATGGATTTGTTCATCTGGTTGCATGTTTTAGCTACAACAATTATCAATCTTTTTTTTTTTTTTTGGGTCTTCATCTCGCCTTCCTGCCAGGTGTTCTGCTGTAGTAGCATATTCTGTTTGGTCTGGCTGCATTCTCAATAAATGGCTGAACGATTTCATTCTTTGTCTGTCAATAGACTCCAGCCATGAGCTTATTCCAACTTTCTCGTCCATGATAGTATTCGTAACCCTGTCTCTTCTTGTGTCGTTAGTGAAAGAAGAAGACCCAAGAGAGAGAGAGAGAGAGAGAGAGAGAGAGAGAGAGAGAGAGAGAGAGAGAGAGAGAGAGAGAGAGAGAGAGAACGCCTTACGCGGTTAGAAGGGATTGCTTATAGCCTAATGACCCTGCCCGGGCAAAATTTGAAGTTAAAAATCAACCCAAAGAATTTAAGGATCCTCGCCGGTGCTACAGAGCCTAAGCACTGTGATAAGCTTCTTTGGACTCAGATTTGAGTTACAAGAAGAACGGAGCAAGGATTACTACCCGTGTGCCATGATGTTGATCCGTCGTTCAAAACCTCAAACCTCAAAACCTCAAGAAGAAACGGGAAAGAAAACAACACGCAAATGAAAAGACGAAGTTAGCGCTGACGCTTGGCGATTATTTAGACCATGTTATCGCGACAGATAAACATGAAAACAGTGAGAGGCGGCATAACTGAAATAGGATTTAAAAAAAAAAAATAAACCTGAAGGAAAATAGGGGAAAACCAAAATGTATTTTGGCATATGGCACATTTGGGACACGAATACAGTTTTAATGTGCGCTTGGATATCACGTGGGACGGTGAACCAGGATCGCTGAACAACCGACTACTTACTATTACCTAGCCATCCTCCCTGTAGGATGCAATTTTTCGTTATTTAGAAGTTCCACACTGGCTCTTGCCAGGGGCCGCAATATAGCCCAGCCATAAAAATGGTCTAATGGCTGAACGGGGTTTCCGAGACCTCTCCACTGGTGATCCACATCCACTTGGTGTCATCGGGTGTTTATCGCTTGTGTGATGTCCTGGTGGGGTAAAATGTACTACTACTACTACCAGGATCGCTAACACTTATAACAGTGCATGATAATTAAAAATACGCACACATAAAACACACATACATACATAAATAATACATATTTGTCACGGACTTTATCTCCCATTAATATACGCATATAACATACATGGACACAGAAACACATGCATACACACAAACACTTACACACACACCCAAAAAAAAATAAGTTACCTTTTAGTTGGTTTCATCTTCCATAAACATACACATATGACACACAGACATCTACACAAGGAATAAGTTACCTTTCTGTTGGCTTTATATCCCATTACCAACACATATAATACACAGACATACACACACACACACAAACAAGGAATAGGTTACCGTTTTGTTAGCTTCATCTCCCATAAACATACATATATAACACGCAGACATACACACAAGGAATAAGTTACCTTTTTGTTGGCTTAATCTCCCATAAACATAGACATATAACACACACATACACACACACACATACACACAGACACACAAGGAATGGGTTATTGTTTTTTATTGGCCTCATCTCCTATAAATATACACAGATAACAAACAGACATACACACACACACATAAGGAATAAGTTACCTTTTTGTTGGCTTAATCTCCCATAAATATACACAGATAACACACAGACACACACAGACACACACACACACACACACACACACACACACACACACACAAGAAATAAGTTAGCTTTTTTGTTGGCCTAATCTCTTGTTGTGTGCTAACTGAGCTACAACTAGCCAGCACACTCCAAGCGTCCAGCAGGTACACTTTCGCTTCCTCTCTTAGAAACAAAACGCGACGACCATGACTCCATCATACATTTTATTCAACAGGTTACATAACACAACTGCAGCGACGTAGCTATTGATCCCAATTGACATTCGCCCATAGTCCATTCAGTCATCACTCGCGCTCTCTCAGCTTGTAGCGGCCTTTTCTTGCCCTCTACAGCTCCCAAGGTTTACAGCGGCCGCAACTCTGGCACGCTGTACAGCTGAATAAGACGAATTCTCCTATCCACAGGACCTTAATATTATTTCAGCAGACGGCCACAGCTGACTGGAGACGGACTTCCCTTGCCGTACTCCAAAAACACACAGCTCTCGTCAGCCTGTCGAAGGGCTCCGATGACCGACAGGACTTCTACCATAAGTCCCCTCTATCACACAGCTCTCGTCGGCATCCACCACTTTTCTGTTTCCGTAGTGACTCTACGTCTACTCGCGTCGTCACCCAGAACAGTTACTATTGGAGCATCCCGTCCCCTTGGACTTACTTCGCCAGCGGGACTATACCTTCGACCAGTATCGCAATCTCAACCCTTACTCAGCTCTTGATGCCTGATAGTTGTACGGCACTCTGTCTGTTATACTCTAGAGAAATAATCACTGACCCTAACTTAGTCCCCCCCCCCCTCTCTCTCTCTCTCTCTCTCTCTCTCTCTCTCTCTCTCTCTCTCTCTCTCTCTCTCTCTCTCTGTCTTGCTCTGACTCTCGGACTCAGACTGCATCGCAGCACTCTCATGCTGGGTGTGTACTACACCCGCACTACCCCAGTGGTTTGGCCCTGTGGCTACAGCTCACTGACCCGGACTGTCTACTCAGCTCCAATTTATCCCTGTCAAACTCATGTAGATTACACGAGAGGCACGCTCGTGTGAGCGTTCTCGGGAAACATGCTCATGTGGGTGTTCTCGAGACTCACATTCAAGGGAGCGTTCTCAAGGATCACGCTTATGTGAGTGGCTGATGTCACATGAGAATCAGGCTATCATGTAATACACCCTTCTCTCCGTGATTCTCATTATACATGCTTGTCAGCCCCCACACAGTAACCCACTCTCCTTTCTCGTGCGTGCACGCCTTGTTCATGATAAGACATTTTCACTGGTCAACATTCTCTCCTCTCAATACTCGGCCAATGTTGACACTAATCCCCGTGAACTCACAGAAAGTACTCACATACCACTCTGTCCCTTTACACAATATCACACTCTCCCAAATCATCACTCAACATCTCTCATAAACATACACATATAACACACACAACACACACACACACACAAGGAATAAGTTATTTTGTTATTGACCTCCTCTCCCATAAATATACTCAGATGACACACAGACATACATACACACACACACACACACACACACACACACACACACACACACACACAAGGAATAAGTTACTTTTTTTGTTGGCCTTATCTCCCGTAAACTTACACATAAAACAGACACATAAACACACACACCATACACACATAAAAGTTACCTTTTTGTTGGCTTCGTCTCCCATAGTCTCCAGGCTGATGTCACTATTCTCCAAGTCTATATCGCTGCTCAAGCTAATGGCACTAGCCACTGTCTTCAGCTCTCCAAGATCTGAAGCAGGACATAAAAGCACAACATGAACTGATATACTAAAATCAAAGAAGTAAAATGTAGAATAGCTGGAATAGAATCATTTCACACAAGGAAAATCATTCTGCTCATTCTGAGCAATCTGTCTTTGTCAAATGAGGGGACGAAGTGCTCAAGAAATATACAAGGCTAGTACTGGTGTATGACAAAGTGCTCAAGAAATATATAGGGCTAGTACTAACTTTTAACAAAGTGCTCAACAAATATATAGGGCTAGTACTGGTGTATGACAAAGTGCTCAACAAATATATAGGACCAGTACTGGTGTATGACAAAGTGCTCAACAAATATATAGGACCAGTACTGGTGTATGACAAAGTGCTCAAGAAATATATAGGGCCAGTACTGGTGTATGACAAAGTGCTCAAGAAATATATAGGGCCAGTACTGGTATATGACAAAGTGCTCAAGAAATATATAGGACCAGTACTGGTGTATGACAAAGTGCTCAAGAAATATATAGGGCCAGTACTGGTATATACCCACGGTATGAGCGTCGAACGTTTCGAAAGCAATTGTAATCTACAGAACGTGAATACATAATTAAACTACAAATATCCAACAATGCTGTTTGTGACGTTCGGTAAAGCGTGTCAAGTCTTTTTCTGTTTTGCGATCGGTTTCATATGCTCAGGTGGTTACGTCAGAAGCAAGTCTCTAGGGCCTACTTGGTTTTTGACAAACCTGAATGCCGAAATATATTTGGCCATTTGTTAATTTATTGCAGTTGTTAATTTGCTCCAGTTTGTTATTTATTGCTAGTAGTTTGTATAATTTATTGCAGTTTGTTAATTTAGGGCCAGTTAATTTAGTGCATTTTGACAAAGTGTGCAGTTTGTTAATTTATTGCAGTTTGTTAATTTATTGCAGTGTTAATTTATTGCAGTTTTGTTAATTTATTGCAGTTTGTTAATGGTTATATGCAAAGTTTGTTAATTTATTGCAGTTTGTTAATTTATTGCAGTTTGTTAATTTATTGCAGTTTGTTAATTTATTGCAGTTTGTTAATTTATTGCAGTTTGTTAATTTATTGCAGTTTGTTAATTTATTGCAGTTTGTTAATTTATTGCAGTTTGTTAATTTAGTGCAGTTTGTTAATTTATTGCAGTTTGTTAATTTATTGCATATGCTAGGTTATTGCAGTTTGTTAGCAATTGCAGTTTGTTAATTTATCAGTTTGTTTTTTTAAGTTTGTTAATTTATTGCAGTTTGTTAATTTAGTGCAGTTTGTTAATTTATTGCAGTTTGTTAATTTATTGCAGTTTGTTAATTTATTGCAGTTTGTTAATTTATTGCAGTTTGTTAATTTATTGCAGTTTGTTAATTTATTGCTGGTTAAGCTGGGTATGCTGTTAATTTAAAGGTAGGAGAAATGGTTACGAAAGCCTGACAACAATATTACTAGAAAATATACTGTTAACCCACTAAGTCATATAAACAAAGCATACTAAAATATGATGGGAAGGAAGCTAAAGAAAAAAAAGTTAAAGAACAAAGTTGGGGAGAATACTGTGTGACTAGATGCAACAACAAGAAGATAGAACTACCAGGCACCAGTTGGTTGACGGACCACTCGAATGGGATAAAAGGCAGAAGGAAAAGGAGGCATGAATGATACTTTAGGACAGTCAAACTGTTGGTTAATCGACCGATCATCATCAAGCACATTGGACAACTACATGAACTCTCGGATACCATCTTCAGTATCTCCCTCAGCACGTGCCGTCAGATAACACCAGTTCTCTGTTGGTTTACTGTTCTCCTTTGGCTGAATATTTAGTTGGCATTTTTGGCAACACTTCTTTTGACATGAAGTTCTTGTAGTCTTGTCAAGTTGATCGATTCACCGTCTTATCCTAAATCATCTTCTCGCCCAGCCCCCTATAAGCACTGAGAACATTGGCTTGGTTCATTGTTTTTCCTGTGCCCACTGTGGTTCTGTAAAGTAAAGATCCCATTTTAAGCCTTAGGCGCATCGGGCGTATGGGAAGAGCACCCCATATTTTTACAGACCAATCGGCACTAGGTAGGTAATGTGGTCAGCATTATGCCGGCCTTCTTTACTTCCCCAGGACAGCCATCCTGGTACCCATTTTAGGCTGGATCGACCGGCGACGCCCCTTACCATGATGAAAACCCACGCAGCTGGCAGTGGTTTTCGATCGCGGTACGTTGGAATTACGAGTCGGACTCCCAACGCCTAAGCCACAGACATGTCTTGTTACTGCCATCATCTTCATAATCTAACGTATTGTAATCAAGACAAAAGCCCCGCTTTCTTTCTTTACAGCTCTCTCTCCAACCGTAACAGTGAAAGCACATTAGTTTTGCACACATAGAACGATAGATCCATCTGTGTAAATATTTGCAACCCTAGCGATTGAACAAGATTGGGGTTAGAAAAGGGAGAAGGGCGGGTGTGAGGAGGAGTAACGTGGACAGAAACAAACGAATGGTTCGACCATATTCTTTATCAACGTGTATATTCATATTTTAACTGGGCAGAGAAATTAGCTCCAGAAGTGCCAGAGCTAATCAAGTAATAGGGCAACTATCTCCCCTGTTGACACACAAGCATGTATACCTCGGAGTACTAAAGTGAATCTTGTCAGAACTATTTTTACAACCTCCAATGAACGTAAAATTGTGACAACAGAGATGAAATGCATTAGAAGAGCTGCAGGAGTTTCAAGGAAAGACAGAATACGAAATCATGAAATCAGACGAACGCTAGGAATAAAGCCGGCCTTACAGGTCATCAAAGAACAACAAATGAAGTGGTTTGGACACCTAACAAGAATGCCCTTTTACTATCTGCCACAGCGAGCCACACTAAAACGTTACAACGGATCTGGAGCAAGTGGAAGACCTCGGAAAAATGGAGTGATGGCATTAAGAACAGCCTTACAGAAATGAACATCAGTCTTAATAGTGCTCTTGACAGAGCTGATCAACGAACATTACATCTCCCCCCGACAATTCGATGAGGTACAAGGTGGAAGAGAAGAGGAACAAGAAGATATTCATATTATTAAATAAAATTATTTTCTGCTATCAGTTTGACTGCAGTCACTTTTTTCTTGTTTCAAGAAAACTTCTATGAAAGAACAAATTACAGTTTGCAGCCAGCCACTTTTGCTTAGAACAAAGCAAAGCTCACAGTCGTAAAACTAAGAGCGTAAAGAATGCCGCAACCCCCTCCCCCCCCCCCTCCACTCCCCACTCTTTATCAGGCTCCAAACGTTCTGTAAGCTTCTGTTCTATCAAAGCTCTTATCTCGCCCGCCAGTGGTCGGCCTTGAAAGAGCAGCAATGAGATTTGGAGTGAGATATTACTGTAATCATAGCATAAACGTGGCATTCAAAAGGTCTGCTTGTGCCGAGTTGGATTTCACTCATTCTGCTTATACACGTTTAACTACGCTCTTGGTAAGTAACACGCATATTTTAACTTTTTTGGTTAGACCAAGCATGTCAACGTAAAGTTATCGACGCATATGACTTTAAAGTGTTCTGCTATTATAACGGTGCTTTGAAGTGCTCTCTTATAACTGTGCTTTAAAGTTATTTGAAATAACGGAGAAGTGAAGTGCTCTCTTATAACTGTGCTTTAAAGTGATTTGAAATAACGGAGAAGTGAAGTGCTCTCTTATAACTGTGCTTTAAAGTGATTTGAAATAACGGAGAAGTGAAGTGCTCTGATCGATCCGCGCTGTAAAGTGCTCTGTTTTAATGTTTTCCAATTCGAATTACTTCGGAGAAAAAATAAAATAAAAAATCAACCACTTTCAACCTGCTGCTAGCTAGCCGAAGCTGCCAACAGTCCCCGGCTATATTTGTGGTGTTGTCTATTTGCGCTAATTTCGTAGCTAATGTTCTGGTATTTGCGCTGTCTCTGGGCTTGATGCTTCTTTCCTCCAAGTCAGACGGCGCATTCCCTATCCTGTTGTCAGCTGTGTTCTTCTTGCTCTTCCATTTCTGATGTTTCCTTCTTGGTTTCAGCTCCTTCTGATTTGTCCAGGCGTATTTCGTAGGAAAGAGTTTCTATACGTATTGTCTTTTTTACAACCATTTATAATTTTAAAATTGTGAGTATTTTGCTTTGCCAAAAAGTACTGAAAACAGATTTTGGGTTTGGATAGATCCGAAATGTGAAAACATTCAGCGTGCGACCATAGCGGTCTTATAGTTGTGTTCTTGCAATGTCCTTTTATATAGTGATGTAAAATGCACTGTTATAACGGCACTTTAAAGTGTAGAAGCATCTCCGATGGACATAGTTTGATGGGCATAGTTTTATATGCAGTTTACCCAAGCGTGAGATGTGCACAAGCATCTTTGATGTGGTCTGGTTTTTTTTTTTTTTTTTTAAAGAGATTATAACGGAGGAGTGCAGTGTTAATTGTTTGGGTGGATATAAGGCTTTAAACAGATCATCTCCCTGATTTATAAAGGACATGCAACTACTTTTTCTTAACCACGGAGGAGCATAGTACTTATATTTGGCGGACATCATTTAGGTTCTTTATTATCATCCTACCCTAGATGACGTCACATGACAGTCTAGCATTTTAGAGGATGGTAAGACTGGATTAACCGGCTTTTTGATGTTTTTAACGACCCCAAAACATCTAGAACTGGCCCTAACCCCAACCCACCTACGTCCCACGAGAGAGTGCAGCCTAGATCCCATGACTGCATGCAGACTAGCTCCCATGACTGCATGCAGCCTACGTCCCATGACTACATGCAGCCTATCTATCACCCCCTGAAATATTACTGTCCCGTACTCTGTGGATTTCCCCTGTTCGGGGTAGGATATTAATAAAGCAACTTATTTTATAAATCTGAAGAGTACAGAAATCATTTTTTGTGAGCACAGCTGTAAATGCAAGGGAGCCAAATGGTCGTAAACAACAAGGCAGACCAAGAAGACGATGAAGTCCAGACACACCTGCAATCACTTGGTGTTGCCAACTGAAAAGAGAAGGCCAACCAGAGAGATGAGTGGAGGCGGGTGATATCTGCTGTAATGAACCTGAAAAGCTCGGAATGCCTTAAAGACGAAGATAGTTGTATGTACAGATTACCTTGAAAAAGGAGATTGTGTTAAACTGTATAATTGGTTTTGGCTTCCAGACGTTGAGACAGCCTATAATAGGTAAAGGGAAATTTCCCTGAAAGTAAAGTCGGTTGGCATGAAATTCACCACATAATATATACACAGTGTCGATGGATCTAAAATATTACACATACGATAATGGAAAGTGATGATGATAATAGGGGTGACTGTGGTATATAGGGAATATCACACTGTAGTGCGACGGGTGTAGGCAGTCTGCTGAGAAACCATCGACCCGACTGCTTCGAGATACCAGCTAAGTGATTTTGTGTATTTGTATAGTATTGTTTGATTTGAATGTGCTGATGAAAGCTCCGTAACCGCAACGTTTACATTTTGTATGTATTTGTTATATTGTGAAGCTTGCTAATATACTTTTCGTTCGGTTTTATATCTTTTCTTGATAGTGCGTAGTTTGACGTGTTTCTACTAGTAGTTTTGATCGATCAGGTATAATAAGTCTGAATTTTGTATAATATAAGGAAAGCTTATTAGCACACGGATTCAATATTATGTTCCCACAATGTCAGCCAAGAAAAAAATACACAGTGGAACCACTGGTATAACCCTTTCATTTGCATAGCTGAACATTAACACCCTAGTGTGACTGTTAGAAGGTCAGTAGTACGAAAGAGTCACTGCCTCATTATTTTCTCTCTAGATTAAGCAATTAGTTACAATTATTATAGGCGCAATTTCCAAGTCAGATTCTGTGGAATAATTGATGCCTCTTATGCGAGCTCTTAGATCGACGTTGCCTGAAAGGTCCCGGAAGCTCGTTCAGCATGCTTTGTTCACGGCGCAGCTTGCTTGTTCCAAACGTATTGATGTTACCTTTCCTTTACAGATAACGAAACAGACCGAGTGAGGGATCATGCTATCTAGTATCACCAGTGATGTGATTCCCATGCCTCCCTACAGTACAGTGGGCCACTTTTAACTTTAAAGAAGGAAAGATGCCTACAATATTGACTTCATCACCCATCAAGTGCCGTGGGTCTCACTAATACAGTGGTCTCCGACTCTAGGAAGAGGGGTGGGGTGGGGGTGGGGGTGGGGGGTTCGGCACCCAAGGGAGCACTAGGAAGGCCCAAGGGAACGATGTTTTTTTTTTAAATGATCAGTTTCTACATCCAATGTTTAAAAAACAATATAATTTTATATTATAAAACCTGCATTTAATTATAGATTAAGAACACATTATTCCACTGTTTGATCTAATTCTGTTATGTTGTGGGGGGGGGGGGAGGTAAGGGGGCATGGGAGGGGGCATGGGCTCTTGCCATATATTAAAGAGAGGCGTGGGGCTCTTGCCATATATTAAAGAGAGGCGTGAGGCTCTTGTCATAAATTAAAGAGAGGCGTGGGGCTCTTGCCATATATTGAAGAGAGGCGCGGGGCTCTTGCCATATATTAAAGAGAGGCGTGAGGCTCTTGTCATATATTAAAGAGAGGCGTGAGGCTCTTGTCATATATTAAAGAGAGGCGTGGGGCTCTTGCCATATATTAAAGAGAGGCGTGGGGCTCTTGTCATATATTAAAGAGAGGCGTGAGGCTCTTGTCATATATTAAAGAGAGGCGTGAGGCTCTTGTCATATATTAAAGAGAGGCGTGGGGCTCTTGCCATATATTAAAGAGAGGCGTGAGGCTCTTGTCATATATTAAAGAGAGGCGTGAGGCTCTTGTCATATATTAAAGAGAGGCGTGGGGCTCTTGCCATATATTAAAGAGAGGCGTGGGGCTCTTGTCATATTTTAAAGAGAGGCGTGAGGCTCTTGTCATATATTAAAGAGAGGCGTGGGGCTCTTGCCATATATTAAAGAGAGGCGTGGGGCTCTTGCCATATAGAGAGGCGTGAGGCTCTTGTCATATATTAAAGAGAGGTGTGGGGCTCTTGCCATATATTAAAGAGAGGCGCGGGGCTCTTGCCATATATTAAAGAGAGGCGTGAGGCTCTTGTCATATATTAAAGAGAGGCGTGAGGCTCTTGTCATATATTAAAGAGAGGTGTGGGGCTCTTGCCATATATTAAAGAGAGGCGTGGGGCTCTTGCCATATATTAAAGAGAGGCGTGAGGCTCTTGTCATATATTAAAGAGAGGCGTGAGGCTCTTGTCATATATTAAAGAGAGGTGTGAGGCTCTTGTCATATATTAAAGAGAGGCGTGAGGCTCTTGTCATATATTAAAGAGAGGCGTGGGGCTCTTGCCATATATTAAAGAGAGGCGTGGGGCTCTTGCCATATATTAAAGAGAGGCGTGGGGCTCTTGTCATATTTTAAAGAGAGGCGTGGGGCTCTTGCCATATATTAAAGAGAGGCGTGGGGCTCTTGCCATATAGAGAGGCGTGAGGCTCTTGTCATATATTAAAGAGAGGCGTGGGGCTCTTGCCATATATTAAAGAGAGGCGTGGGGCTCTTGCCATATAGAGAGGCGTGAGGCTCTTGTCATATATTAAAGAGAGGCGTGGGGCTCTTGCCATATATTAAATAGAGGCGTGGGGCTCTTGCCATATATTCAAAGGGAGCTCCGCCTGAGAAAAAAAAAAGTTTGGAGACCACTGCTCAACAATATGGACATAGCACCATATCGCCTAATAGGTTTCAAGATGTGGAAATAAACTTGTTGGTATTTTTTTTTAACTATTGGTAAATGGGTGCATATTTTCAAGTACGTTGTTGACGACTTTAAACTTCTTCTGTTATTATCACAGGCTGACAAGTAGACGTCACGTCAAGGTCTGAGATTCCCCAATGGCTGCATCCGAGCTCAAAACCAGAGATGAATGTCTGACTGTGATGTCAAACAAATCCTTGCACATGACCACAGACCACTGTCCACTAGAATGGGATCAGTACACAGAAATGTGCTGGGGCCCCACACCGGCTGGAGAATCTGCCATACTTCCATGCCCAGACGATGGATTCCTCAACCCAAAACAGTTCGCTACCAGGATATGTCTCCCTGACAGTTCTTGGTACATTAATTACACTTTTGATGACAAACCCTACACCAATTTCCAGAACTGTTTCCTCCCAGAAGACCCTACTGCAGAAGACGATCTGAAGAAGCTCATAGATACTAAAATCATATTTGTATTGAAGACCCTTGATGAGTATAAGAGAGCACATCTGGCCATTTATGCTGTCTCCATTATTCTGCTGATTGCTTCAGTCTTCGCTAGTATTAGTGGCATTGTGAAATTAAATGCGAAAAAGCATCCTTCAATGACATATTTAGCATTGACGATAGCGGCTGCTGCCCTGTTGATACACAATGTCACTACTCTGTCTTTGAATGGCGTTGACGACGCTACTAAGTTGTTCAAATGCCGATTTGCAAAGTTTATTTCGTTGATTTGCACTTTAGTCTTTCATGAAAGCATCTTTGTGTACATTTTTTTGTGCATTGCGTCTATTTTACACATTCCTATTCGACTATTGGTCATACAGATTACTGCAGCTGCAACAGTTTTTCTCACAGTGTTACTGGCTACTACAGAACTGCTCTTAGAGACGTTTTCTTGTTCTTATTCCAGACACTGCGGGTTTAAGACACTCCAGTCGGCGTTCCACTGGCTGACCACAGCACCAAGGATATTACTGATAATGGTTTGTTTGTGTCTAGCTTCTGTGACCGTCTTTGGCGCTTTCTGTTTAAAGCAGCCAAACCTGAGCCAAAGGAATGAACTGTACAAGGTTCGTCAGAGATCGTTGAGCGCGCTTGTTTTAGTCGTATATAGTGTCGCTCAAGAAGTCATGCTGGTTCTAATCCACACAGAAGCCTACATGAACTACTCTGATTTACCAGTGGAGGAATATGTAAGTGTCTTTTCCTTAGCGACTTCTGCCCAGGGCATCATCTTCTCTGTTATCATGTGTGTGTTGGACATTGGGTTACTCACAATGTTAGGACTCTCAATTATCCATTGCCCAGGTCATGATACAACCAGCGAACAAGAGCTCAATGCATTTCCAAAACACACAGCGTTGCCACTCCACGTGCGACATGGCAAGAGTGCTATAAGCGACCAAGTTTGATCACCAACAGAAACTTGCAACAAAGTAGAACCCGTCTCTGCTAAAGGATGTTCTAATCGCGCACTGTTCACATAAGTAAAGAAACAACATTTCTTCAGACTGGTGTGAAGTGTTATAAAGTCAAAGTTCTAAAGTCAGGACATTTAAACATTAGATCATTCGGAATTTTGATTTTTCTTTCCGTTCAGATTTCTTTTCTAATATTCATAGTATTTCATATTCATGAGAGGATACGGATCGCGACAATGAAACGTTTTCTCAAATCTTTTTATTAGTTATATATTTAAACAAATATTGAACATTTCCTACACTACAACGAATATATCTACCCGCTTAAGCCTGGAACTTTTGATAGTTCTTTAAGTATCTTATTGTGGAAAAGAACATGTGAAATATTTCCTTGTTCGATGTAGGATCATCTTCAAGGCACATCGGGCAAATCCATAAGTGTTTCGATATTCTCCCAAGCGAATTTCTTTGTGTGTTTATGTCGATGCCTTCCGTTCAACATTTTCTAGGGATAAAATTGACCACAGGCAAGGCGTCTTACAGACTAACTTTGTGGTTTTTTACAACCATTTAAATATCTTCTTGTTTCGGTGCATCTTTTTTCCAGCATAAGTCCAAGCTACCTTAATATTTTTCTGTTTTAAAAATTACAATGTCAGTTTTATACAAAGTTAACAACTTTATTGTATTTATCTTTATGCAGTCTTCTTCTTTTGCTCTACTGCCTCACGGTAAAGCGTTGCAGTAAGGAATTATAGTCTGTCCCAAAAACCCTGCCGAACTTTAAACATCTGTTTCTAAGTAACCATTCGGTGTCAGTTGTTGAAATTTGGCATGTAATCTGTTAATAATCATGTCCTTGTATAAACTTAAAAAAAAATTAAGTTAACATCTAGTTTTCTTTTTGCCATATTTGCGACACATGAACAACAACAACAACAACAACAACACCCACACACACACACACACACACACACACACACACACACACACACAGGAATCACCGATTCATAGCAAATAGTCAGCATGCTTACAGCAACTTGAGTAAACTGAATCCTGGGAACTTTTGAAAACATTACATTGCAAGCCTGTCAAAAGCATTTCACTCACAGGTGGTCATCTCCCCATCAGAAGTCTCCATTAATTTGTGGATTTTTTATAAGTGGAGAATATGCTATCAAAATATTCACCACGCATCGCTGCACATGTGAACTGATTTCGAAACAATCTCCACATGTGTGTCGATTTCGGTATATTCGATTTTTCAGGGATCCATAAATTATTGATCAAACAAAGATGAAAAAACATTCGCCGTTTTAAGAAGACAGCAGTATCTGCGCAATTGTGAATTATAGAATCACAAGGACATGGGAAATCTGAGACCTAATGCAAAAATTAGTGTTGATCCGTAAAGGAGTTTTCGAGATATTTGTTAAAGTTTTACGGCATGAGTTTTGAAACAAACTATAAATGCAGTTTCTTGTGTTCTGCTGGCTACCTAGCTTATGTTAATGTCTTACTGCGTTTCTTAGCGTCTCTAACTTAATCCTCCCATATATTTCTTGGTCGGCCTATTAATACTTTACACTCGTGGAATATTCAACAACATCATCGTCACCGTGTAGCAAGTCCTTCGCAGTACACTGACCCATCATGGCTCGTCGGACTGACAATCGGCCTGTTGTCAATTTCATCAAATCATTTTTTTTAACGCCCAGAGTGCCTCTGATATTTGGTGTTTACTTTTGCACTAGTCAAGTCCTGTTGTCATTAACTATACTTTCATTAATTATTCGTATCAACGATAAGGAAGTTTAATATAAAAGTAAAGTAAAGGACCCTTTTCCGCGCCTTCGGGCGTATTGGGCATACATTGATAAGCTTATATTTTATACACAATCTGTACTGGATGGGTGATGTGGTCAGCAGCACACAGGCCGAATTTACTTCCTAGGACAGTACCTCGAACCCACTCAAGGTTGGTCGACTTGAGAGCCAATGTCATTTCGAAAAAAAAGTCCGGCTACTTCAAGGCATGTTTAATATGGAAGAAAAAGGGGAGGGAGGTGTTCGGTTTTCGACGCATGAAGCTCTGTTCTGTATCTCACAAGCATATACACGCAGGCATGAATATACAATGCGCGCGTGTGTGAGAGAGAGAGAGCGAGATTGAAAGACAGAGTGAGAGAGTGTGTGAGAGAAAGAGTGAGACAGAGAGTGTGGGAGAGGGAGAGAGAGAGAGAGAGAGAGAGAGAGAGAGAGAGAGAGAGAGAGAGCCCTGTAGCAACTCACTACATAGCAGAAAGCTACTCTCACAAACCCATTCAGTTCTTCTCTAGTTCCTTTTCTTCCTGTCTTCTACTTCTGCCTTTTATCTCTAACTGGAGCATAGGTCCTGAATTAATTAACTGACTCAGTCGAAATCTTATATAATTAATGTAACAGAAGCAATGGTTTACTTTCCGGGGCATCCTAATAAATGAACATCAAAGAAATATTAGTTGCAGTAACAGAATGAATTGTCCAATTAGGGGATAGCCTATTGAATTTTTTTTTAAAGGAGGGGGGGGGGGGGGGGGGTTATTTATTAAGGAATATAAATACCGGATGACTTCTAACACACATAATTATTACAGTCATCCTTTTATGGGATGCAATTTTTAGTTATTTTAAAGCCCCACCCTGGCTCTTGCCAGGGGCCGCAATACAGCCCGGCCCTAAATATGGCCTAATGGCTAAACGCGAGTACCAGGACCTCTCTACGGGTGATCCTCATCCACATGGTGCCACTTTGTGTTTATCACTGGTGTGATGTCCTGCTGGGGTTAAAAGTACTACTACTACTACTACTACTACTACTACTACTACTACTACTACTACTACTACTACTACTACTACTTCTACTACTACTTCTACTGCTACTACTACTACTACTACTACTACTACTACTACTACTACTACTACTACTACTACTACTACTACTACTACTACTACTACTACTACTACTATTACAAAACAATAGTTAATTTATGGAACACACACACACATGTGTGGAATGAATGTAACATATTGCCTATTTTTTGTTTTTTAATTTACAGCTTTCCTTTAAAAAACACGAAACACCGGATGTCTTATGGTATATCCTATAGTAAGCTATTTGACAAAGTTTACTCAGGGCCAACATGTTGGAAAACGTGTATTGTCACGGGCCAGAACCTAAGTCCCAGCATATAAAGATCATTACTACAACCTGGCAATGATGCGCTGGCCACTAGCTGGACCTTGGCTGACCAGATTTGATCCGCGGGCAGCCAGTTGAATAGTCCGGCCCTATGGTATTAATATAACAAACACAATAAATATTTACGGGATACATATACACGTGTGTAAAGTGAGTCTAACAGAAACATCAATTACACAGCGAGACAATCTGTAGAAATTGTGTAACAGAATCAACAGTAAACATTATGGGAGTCTGCATGGTCTCGAGGTATGGTGTCCGCCTCCAGTGCTGGTGGTCCAAGGTTCAGGCTCCAGTGAAGGCTAGGATTTTTTAACGTAAACTTCTAGTAATTTCCCCTGGTCTCCTTGTATGAAGATCAAACGCCCGTGTGTATTGTTGCGCACATAAAAAAATCAATGTGCGTTTGGAAATCGAAAAGACTAGCACAACGGCGCTACCTGGGCAAAATTTGGAGTTACAGATCTACCCAAAATATTTCAGGATCCTCGCCGGTGCTATGGAGCTCGTGCACTGCGCCTAGCGTCTTTGGACTAATACTTGAGTTAGAAGTAGAACGGGGCACTTATAGGTTAACTACCCGTGTGCCATGTACTTGATCCGTTGTTCAAACCAAACCAGACCAGTACACGTTCATAATACCATGCAGAAGGAATGAAAAAACCCGGGCTTTTTTACTGGCGGCACACAGTACAGCCACCCTTTTTGGCATTACTTTTCAGCGCTAATGTAAAAGACACTTTGAGGTGAGTAGAGGCACCTTTTTTTTATAGAAAAAAAAAACACTTTATGATAAGTATCGGCACCTGTGTTAACAAAGCCATGAACGTAATAAAAAAAAAAAAAACAACACTGATATCATAGCCAGACACCCCTTAGGATTGGGGGAAAAAAAGAAGAGAAGAGGGGAGGAGGGGAATAGGAACACAGAAAGAATTGACCACTTACGGGAGGCCGACATCTGTTTCCTCAGATCTCCGGTGGTGTTGTTTCTTTTGATGTTTTTCTTTTTGTCCTCCGGTCTGCCCTTCTCATGTCGATGTCTGTGCTGCTTCAAACAGAGGGTTCGAACGTGTTGCCTCAAGACGGGGTCTAAGGATTTGTTAGCTATCCAGGCATCAAGAAATTGATCTGTTTGAAGAAATTGCATAAACTTATTTTTAGTTCTGATGTTACCGTGTTTTCCCAAAAGTAAAAACCTACATCGTCTTCTTTTCTTCTTTTCTCTACTCCTTGGAATGCTTCGTGGCGTCATGGCCTTTCCGTGTGCTTCGTATTAGGTACTTTTCGGTGTTTGATATTTGTTTGGTCTATCTGCATGGTCGACCTCTGGTTCTGTTACCGTTGTACTTGTATACCACTGCTCTCTGTGGTGCCCTATCTGATCCAGATCTTATATTAAATTATGCTCCAAAATACGCCGTAGGGCTTATATTCAAGGATGTCTTTTAAATGTAGACAAATAAACACTAATTATATATTTTTTTAAAGCATTAATATCATGAATATTATTTTAATTCTGTACCCATTAATTACATTTAAATTTAGTACGTCAGTAACCTGTTTCAACGAAAGAACGAAATCCGACCGTCTGGCTGATATTCATATCTAGGGGTTATGTTTGGGGTAATGCTTATATTAATAGCATGTGATTTTGTGTGTGTGATTTGATGATAATGATGATGATAAACACGGTATTTCAATTCTAACACATAACAGTGACAGATAACCACTAAAAACATGAAAATAAATTACTATGGATATTATGGCCGATGAGCCCCTTTTGACGTATTATATATGTATATATATATATATATATATATATACCGCCTGAGGCGATAGGCATAGATTGTCATATTTCACTATTTTGCAGTCATCAGTATCATGGATCTGATCACTGTTGTTGACTCGCCTCATCCATATTCTTTTCCCAATAGTCGTCACCAAGTTCTTTGAGTGCATTTCTTCTTATAACATGCCCGAAAAACGCCGACTGTCAACGCGTAATGTATCTAACCAGGTTATGGTTTCCATGAAATTCTTTGCATTCGTCCCTAGAACCATTTCTTGTTTATCTAAACATGCATGTCATGAACTAGAATATTGTGTGGGTTTCGAGGTACCGTTCGGGGAGAAAACAGACAAGACCCACTGTTCCCTAACAAGTATGTGTTGTCAGAGATTAATTAGGGGTGTTTCCGTGCAAGTCAGAGGGCATATGCCTGAGAGGCGAGAAACCAGCCATCTGCATACACATATGCCAGGTGTATAAAAAGTATGCTCAAGCAAAACTCAATTAAGACTAATCTTCGACATACCCCATGCGGGATGCAATTTTTAGTTATTTTGGAGCCCCACCCTGGCTGATGCCGGGGGCCGCAATATAGCCTGATGGTTAAACGCGATTTCCGGGACCTCTCCAAAGGTGATTCTCATCCGCATGTTGACACTTTTGTGTCACCAGGTGTTTATCGCTCTGTGTGATGACCTGCTGGGGTACAAATTTACTTACTAAAACTAAATTTTAGAACAAGACCAATGCCATGAATTGAACGAACATCTAAAAAAATTGCACTAAAGTTTACGCACGAAAGAAAAATAAGAAGAAAAAGAAAAAGATAAAGAAGGAGAGAGAGGAAAAGGAGAAGAAGAAGAAGAAGAAGAAGAAGAAGAAGAAGAAGAAGAAGAAGAAGAAGAAGAAGAAGAAGAAGAAGAAGAAGAAGAAGAAGAAGAAAAAGAAGAATAATTAGACGTATATTTAATGAGCACCAAAGCCTACTCACCCACAACCTGCGCGATGGTATAGCACTCAACATCAGTCATCAGAACCCCGTCTAAGATCTGCTTCCTCAGTTCCATCACGTAATGCATATTGAGGGACGCCACGTGAGGCTTAGACCAGCGCTTGCCTCCGTCTTCCACCTTCTCCTCGTACTTGACCCACCTAACACAGAGTCATTTTTGTTACAAAGTGTATTCCACTACATTTTATGTAAAATGTAAAGATCCCTTTGTCACGCCTTAGGCGCATCAAGCATATAGGAAGAGCGTCCCATATTTTTTACAGACCAATCGGCACTGGGTGGGTAATGTGGTCAGCTTTACGCCGGCTGTCTTTACTTCCACAGGACAGCCATCCTGGTACCCATCTTAGGCTGAGTCGACCGGCGACGCCCCTTATCATGATAAAAATCCAGGCAGCCAGCAGTGGATTTCGGTCGCCGTACGTTGGAATTACGAGTCGGACTCGCTACGCCTAAGCCACAAATCGCACAGTATATTTTTTGTGGTTTATAAAATAAATAAAAAAGTCAAGGACCCTTTTCACACGCCATTGGTTTATCTGGAATATTGTGCTAGACCCCTAATTTTATAGACCAAGCAATTATGATAGATGATGGTCTGGTCAACGCAACTTCAGTAACCTTTATTTCCCAGGACATTTCCAGGTATTCAGTTCAGGCTATCTTCTTCTTCCTCGTCTTCTACTCCTCCTCCGGCTTCTCCCCTTCCTCCTCCTTTCTTCTTCTTCTTTTTTCTTCTTCTTCTTCTTCTTCTTCTTCTTCTTCTTCTTCTTCTTCTTCTTCTTCTTCTTCTTCTTCTTCTTCTTCTTCTTCTTTTTATTCTTCTTCTTCTTCTTCTTCTTCTCCTCCTCCTTCGTGTTCATTACCTGTCAACTCCGGTTCTCGTTGTTCGTCCAACTCTGGATTTTAGTGTTGTTACAGTACTTGAGTTGTAAGCCCCATTCCTTTTTACAGATCTGGTTTATTGGTACACAGAGTGTTCGTTCCTTGCCTCTCAGTCAGATGCATTCTGACTTCGAGGGAAACCCTAGTCGATTCTTACAACGTGCTTGTTGGGGTTTCAGTGGGACTTTCTTGTGTTCCCTTGCAATAGTGCCCAGCACCCCACAAGGGAAATGGACCAGTCGACACTCGATAGATGGTCCGGTCAATTCCACATCAGTTGCATTTACTTCCCGTGACATTTCCTGATACTAAGTTCAGGCCAGCGACTGGGAGCTTCCTGTCGACAGCAAGCTTTTAATCATGGTCACCATCAATGTCTTGCTGATATGTGTAGAGTAGATGATCACGGTACGCAATCTCACATGATCATCCGTATCACAGACTAATTCTGTGTTCTTATCATACCTATGATGCATGGCCAAGCCAAGTATTTATTTCTTCGTCTTCTCAACAGTTCTATCACTAAATTGTCAACTGCATTTATCCACATCATCATCAACCTGCAAGTCCTTTACAGAACGTAGCTTCCTTCACCCCCGAAAGTCTTTCTTTCTCTAACCTAATCTCCAGCCCTATTTGATGTTAAAACACAACAGCGTTCCAAGTCAGGATGCTGTTTATGAGCCAATTCTCCTTGATGTTCAGATCATTGCGTTTAGAGTTTCTTAGAACCTATAATGTGGTAGTTTCCCCTTGCTTGTATCATCGACATTCTTGAGCATCTCAACCTTTCGCAATTTTATTAGATTGTTAGAGTGAGTGAGTACTCTGTTCTATGGTACTACAGTTCTACCTCATAATATGTCCACACAAGATCATAACTTTCTGCGTCTACTTTAATTGGCAGTTAACCGTTTTCTTGCTTGAGGACTATCTCATTTCATGTTTTCTATCAGCTCATAATATTCTTTGCATTTTCCGAAGATGTCTTGTAGTCATTATAATTTGTTTCAGCGTGAATGCACACTGCTCTCTATTCACATACATACAACGTCAAAGGTCAAAGCACTTTGGCATTCTTTTTTCTCACCGCAACCGACATATTTAACTGCCATTGATTATGTTATTTTTTTTTTTTTTTTTTTTTGGTATTTATGCAAATGTAATTTTGCAAAGCATGTAATTTTAAATCTTTTAGGTGATGGTAGATATACTTTTTGTTTCTGTTAATTTTTATTTGTATAGACTGTCTAACGAGGCTGGTAGCGATATCCTGCATCATAAAACACCAAGATGCAGAGGGAGACCTAGAAGAACAGCGACTGAAGTAGTCACTGGCAGCCCAGCCTTCACAACATCGCGGCATACCAAGCATCTGAGTGTGCCCAAGCTCGTCTACCGTTCATGTGTTAAACTGAAACACCCAGTATCAGATTCTTCTTCTTCTTCTTCTTCTTCTTCTTCTTCTTCTTCTTCTTCTTCTTCTTCTTCTTCTTCTTCTTCTTCTTCTTCTTCTTCTTGACAAGGACAAGGGAGAAGATAATTTAACGGGAAGGGAGATAAGGAGTAAGATTTGCATAATGATATATTTATTTACCATAAATACATACCTAGCCCACTCACGCCATTCTAACTCTTCGCCTCTTTGAGTAAGAACATCCATTTCCACAAAGAGGCGCCTGGCTCTGTGCTTTCGGTCTCTCACTTGGTTGATCAGCGTTTGCACCTTCTCTGCTGGGTCATAGGTAGAGCTTCCATACGCACGCAGGTTAGTGACTGGAAGTAACAATACAGGTTAAATGACAGTACAGTTAACAAACAGCATACACTTCTACATTATGTAGCTGACTGCGGGAAGAGGGATTAAATTAACCATATCAACAATAAGAAGCTAAAAGAAGAAGACACCACAGAAGCAATCGAATGTTTCGACTTTAGTCTTTGTCAATGGACACCTCAACAAAAACACGAATCTTAGACACCAGCTCCCACACAGGAAGGTCAATGTTTCTACTATAATCTATCTATCTATCTATCTATCTATCTATCTATCTATCTATCTATCTATCTATCTATCTATCTATCTATCTATCTATCTATCTATCTATCTATCTATCTATCTATCTATCTATCTATCTATCTATCTATCTATCTATCTATCTATCTATCTATCTATCTATCTATCTATCTATCTATCTATCTATCTATCTATCTATCTATCTATCTATCTATCTATCTATCTATCTATCTATCTATCTATCTATCTATCTATCTATCTATCTATCTATCTATCTATCTGATCTATCTATCTATCTATCTATCTATCTATCTATCTATCTATCTATCTATCTATCTATCTATCTATCTATCTATCTATCTATCTATCTATCTATCTATCTTTCTATCTATCTATCTATCTATCTATCTATCTATCTATCTATCTATCTATCTATCTATCTATCTATCTATCTATCTATCTATCTATCTTTCTATCTTTCTATCTTTCTATCTTTCTATCTTTCTATCTATCTATCTATCTATCTATCTATCTATCTATCTATCTATCTATCTATCTATCTATCTATCTATCTATCTATCTATCTATCTATCTATCTATCTATCTATCTATCTATCTATCTATCTATCTATCTATCTATCTATCTATCTATCTATCTATCTCTCTCTCTCTCTCTCTCTCTCTCTCTCTCTCTCTCTCTCTCTCTCTTCTATCTATCTATCTACCTACCTACTACTACCTACCTACCTACCTACCTACCTACCTACCTACCTACCTACCTACCTGTCTGTCTGTCTGTCTGTCTGTCTGTCTGTCTGTCTGTCTGTCTGTCTGTCTGTCTGTCTGTCTGTCTGTCTGTCTGTCTGTCGTCTGTCTGTCTGTCTGTCTGTCTGTCTGTCTGTCTGTCTGTCTGTCTGTCTGTCTGTCTGTCTGTCTGTCTGTCTGTCTGTCTGTCTGTCTGTCTGTCTGTCTGTCTGTCTGTCTGTCTGTCAGTCTGTCAGACCGTCTGTCTGTCTGTCTGTCAGACCGTCTGCCTGTCTGTCTGTCTGTCCGTCAATTCTTCCATTCTTCCATTGAGGTATAGTCCTTTGCCACATCTTTCCTTTCCATCTCTTCTTTCTGCGCGGCACTAATTAACGAATGCTTGCACTATATAAGCAATTATTTCGTACATTATTGCTAGACATCTATTTGGATTTTGGCAATAGCAAGCAACCACATAAATGGCCCCACTGCTGGAGAGTGGGACTGAATGTTGTGGCTATGAAGAAAGATTGAAAGCGACGCTTGGAATAAGCATGTCTAGTCTGAACGTTAGCGGAGAATGAAGAGAGGCAGCAACGAAATTCATAATCTGTCGATTCTCACCTCTGTTTAATCTACAGCTTCTTTCTTCGTGATAAGCTGAGGGTTCTTGGGAATCTCCTCTCTCTTCGTGATAAGCTGAGGGTTCTTGGGAATCTCCTCTCTCTTCGTGATAAGCTGAGGGTTCTTGGGAATCTCTCTCTTCGTGATAAGCTGAGGGTTCTTGGGAATCTCCTCTCTCTTCGTGATAAGCTGAGGGTTCTTGGGAATCTCCTCTCTCTTCGTGATAAGCTGAGGGTTCTTGGGATCTCCTCTCTCTTCGTGATAAGCTGGAGGGTCTTGTGAATCTCCTCTCTCTCGTGATAAGCTGAGGGTCTTGGGAAGCTCCTCTCTCTTTCGTGATAAGCTGAGGGTTGGGGGAAAAAAAACCCATAAAGAAACAAATAATGGTTTATCTAGAAGAAAATAACTCACCCTTTGATATCTCAGTTTTTAAAAGAAAACTTAACCAAGCCAAAAAATTCAATATCTGGGAAAATCATTAATCAGAGAAAATTTTTGCAAGATTAAAGCAAAAAAGTAAGCGAAAACTGCATTTTAGATGATGAAAAAAACTTTGCAAAAATCGCTCTCGTTTTAAATTTTTTAGAAACCCGTTTTGCGTATGGCGCGAATCTTGGGAAAATCACTAAACAAAAGAGGAAAAACTTAAAAACAACAAAAGTGTTTTGAGACAAAGTTTCTTTTCCCCGGCGGCCAGAGAACAACAAGATTTCTTAAAAAAGCTAATGAAAATGATCTTTACAACAGTAGGGGAGACAAACAAAAACGGGTTTGTTGGCCCCATAAATGAAGAGGACATTGAAGAAATTTGTGACACTGGAAAAACAGTGGAAAAAGGGCAGGTGACCAAGA